CGCGCGCCGCCGGGCTGAGCCGCGATGGGGTGGGGGGGGGCAGCGCTCTGCCGCCGGCGGGCACCAGACCGTGCTCCAACCGCCCGGGAACCGGCCGGGCAGCGACTTGTCAGATTCGCCGGTGGCTCCAGGGCCCCAGCAGCAGCCGCCCCGGCCTCCCGCAGGCAGCCCCGGACCCGGCTCCCCCGCGGCGCACGGCGGAGGGTCGGCGGGAGGCGCTGGAAAGCCAAGGAGAAGCCTCAGATCCCGGTGCGTTTCCCGGGGGTTCCTCCGACCTCAAGGTGCTGGGATCTTGCTCAGGGTCTGTAAATGTTTTCTGTCCCACCATTTGACTCCAGACCCCACAGCGGAGGCGACAGAAGCTCTTAAACAGCTGCTTTTTCTCCCTTTTTGCGGGGGGTCTATTCCTTTAAGTAACGCAAGGAGATTCCCGGTTTTTGAGTTTCCAGCAGGAAATAGTTCTACAACAAATTAGTTTACCTACTCACTCTGTTTATTTTTCCAAGGGAAAAGGGACAAACAAATAAGGAAATGAAAAATGTTAAAATACTTAAATATTATTACATTTATAGTCAGAATAATTATGTCAATCAACTGCATTGAATTGTCTATTAGCTTTTAAATATTCACCTCAACATACATTTGTTCTTTAGGACACACAAGAGATAAATAATTGAGCTAACATTGCTAGATAAATCCTGAGCTGCAAATATTCCAGATCATACCTTGAAGTTGCTATCCAATACCTACAAATGGGAAGTAAACAGATCAAAGTGAGCGGGCCGGAGCCCACACATGGGTACCCGGAGGCCCAATTCACTGAGACACAGTCACCCCCCCAGCATTTCCAGCTGGTCAGTCAAGACCGAACTGCTCTTCAACATAAAACCCAGCTTGGCCACAAGTGCAGGAGACGCTTGGTATTTTGGCTTGTGCTACAAACAACATGAGAGTGCATGATTTGCAAACAACCCCCCCCAAAACCAAGCCCCACAACAGTTTTGGGTATCTGTGGTTTTAAATGTCTAAATAGATTGTATAGTGGGTTGTAACACATGTTAGTGCTTGCATGGGTGGGAGTGGACAGAAGAAAAACTTCAGTGCTTAAATCCTGTTGGGAAACCTGATTTTTGTGAGCTGCAGATCTTGACAGCACCAGGACAGCACGTAAAGAGAGCAAAGAAAATTGTTTTATGGCTAAAAGCATCAACTGCCAGCCACTTGTGTATATACGGACATAGGCTTTCCCTGCTTCTTCCTTCCAGGCCAGCGAAACTCCTGATAAAAAGGACAGGTAAAAAATAGTGGCAACAAGAATCAGCTACACAGAGCTCTTCTGCAATATTGTGGAGAACTTTTATTTTTCCAGAACAGTTGCTGGATTTCTGCCTTTGTGTGTCTTGTTGGCGACAGAATGGATCAGACATGCTGCAGAATGGATCAGCACCGTTTCGCTTGTTTTTTTCAAAACCTCGCAGAACAGCAGGGTCTGCTTACAAGCTTCTCTGCAACTCCCCAAAGGAAACAGCAATGCAGGAACTGAGTTCACTCTCATGATGGTCACTCTGTTCCAGCTAAGAGAAAGTTGGAATTTGACTATCTCAGACTTGAGTATATAATGTTTCAGTGCATGTGCACTTTGATCAAAAGCATAAACCCGTATCTGCAGTAAAAACTACTTGCTATGGCAGCCAGCTAGAGACACACATAATGCATCCAATCAGATTATAGGACAAATTACCCTTGAGCAGGAGATAGCAATAGGTTTACAAACTCTCCTCATTTACTTCTATCCACCTTTCTTTTACAAAGCTGCCACTGGCTTCTGGTGCCACATCAGGAGTGTTAGCAGTTTATTACTGAGACCACAAGGAGTGAAAAGTGGTTGCTTTAATGCTACAACCTTGACAGGGACACAGCTACAACCACGCTGGGTTGCCTCGGTAGAAGTTTTTGACTCTGAACATTGAGCTTCTCAGCTGGAAGACCAAAAGTTGAGAGGCTGCAGTGCAAGGAAGAATGATCTGTGCCTGTTTTGTTTTCTCTTGCCCACTAATTGCAAATTTTACATGCATCAAGTCAAGCTGCAGCTGGATTGCTAATATTTTTTTTTTCCAATTTTTCTCAGCAAAGTAACAGAATTTCATTAAGCCTGGTTAAATAACCTGCTGGATTGGAGGGAACACACAAGAAATGTATGATGCAGCTGGAAGCCTCTGAAACTACTTCCAGACGTCCAGAACCTAAGGAGAAGCTCTTCCACGACTGTACTGTGCCTGCTCTGAACCCACACAGCCCAGAGCACGCACCTTCCCAGAGCACAGCAAACGGGGCGGCCAAGGGCAGAGCATAAAAGGCAGCGGAAAACAATGAAGGCTCGTCTTCCAGCCACGCCAGCGATTTCTGAAGTAATAATACATTAATTTGGCAGAGGAGTGTCACAAGTGCATGCAGAGACGTATTTTAAATAAGGACTCAAAAGATTAGAAAAAGGCAAGTTTCCCTGTAGGGCTGATATTTCAGGAGTGGTTGGTACCATGCCAGCTGCTGATATTACAGTAAGCCACTGCCATCAGCTCTCCTGGAAAAGACCCTTTAAAGAACTAGTCGCGACACACCTAAAGTAGCAGAAAGCACACATCCCGGGGTAAGGGTACAACAAGAAGGAGCCTACAGTCAAACGGATGGATGGAAATCAGTGCTTTGGTCCCCATCCAAAAGACAGTGACTGTCCACAACAGCCCCGTTTCTGACACGTGCCTGCACAGCAGCTGTAGTGCAGACAAGGATGCACAGCTCGAACTTTCCTTGCATACGAAAAAGGGTACACCTTCGTTCAAATCCACAAAAGCCTTTCAGCCTCTGTAAAAGATGCTGTTTTAAATATAAGTAGTCATTGTATAAAATAAGGTAATCATTGTGGCCTGTGAAGAGACCTTATGTGGCAGGACAGTAGTAATCGATCGGGACACCTTCTAGAACTACAACTAGCTTAGGCCTTGTAATCAGTATCTTAATATATTTTCCAGAAGAACTTGGGGGTAAACAAAGTGCAACACTGCCCAGAAAGGGCATTCAGCTCTCACCAGAAAGTGGTGACAAGTATCCTGCTTACCTTGCATGGTGAATTCAGGACAGAATTAAGATGACAAGCTTGAGCAACTGGTCACCTGGCCCTCCTGATCTTTGCACGGCACTGGCAAGTATTTTGGGCAACTACACAGCTCTCTCCATCCAGAAGCATTGGCAAATTAAATATAGGGCTTACTTAAGGATAAAAGCAACAGAGACTGTGTGTTCCAAGATACACTGTTTTAGGTACAGTTCTCAAAACAGCCATGTTTAAAATGACATTCATAAAACTTTTTTTTGTTTTCTTTTGTTTCGCTTTTTTATGGCTAAATGACCTGCCTTCCTTCATACATACTGGTGGCAGCACATGAAAGGACAGCAACAAGCACTCTGGGAACTTGCTCATACGTGCAGCCAGGAAGAGTGTTTCCAGAAATAAGAGAGCTGAAAAATGTGAAACGAGATCCTGAGATGCAGGTGAACATTGGAAAATACCACAAAATCCAGAACCCATCTGGAAGTGAAAACTGAGGAATGAAGACTAAAGGGATTACAGACCAGAGCTCAGCAGGAGCAGGGTTGTTCTTGCTATTAATATAACCAGCTCGTTTAAGTACATGGAATAGCACAGAACAGAGTCCTGCAACAGTTGCAACAGACTGTAGAACAGCCCTTTAAAACTAAGCAAGAGTTTAGCACAGAGTGGTGGCAACTGTCCAAGGACCATAGACTTTAAAAGAAATCAAGTACACGGCAAAATACATACTCCAATAGAGACAAGAGAGAACCTGTAAGAACCCTAATGCTAGGAACCCGTTTTAACAATCTTTCCTCATTCTGTCAATAACAGTCAAGATCATTTACAGTGCACCTCTTAAAAGGAAATGAGCTATGGCAGTCTAAACAAAATGCAAGATGATGCTGCAGACACTGTGTGCTCAGCACACTTTCCTAAAGCCAGGCAGTGAACTTAGCAAAGAGGTGCCATAAAAAACCATGCTAATAGTGTTCTCTTCAATTTGCAAATGCACTTTTTTTCTTTCAAACAACTGCTCTGAGTCCTTGTTTGCTGGGTAGAGATAACACATCACTCTACTCTGTAGTTTCAGCTTCCAAGCTGGCTGCATGGCATGTGTCCATGAAGGTGCTGGACTTGGTTTTACACTCATAGAAGCTGCTCAGTTTAAACAACCTGCAGGACCTACTGAAGTTGCTGAGCCTCTCCCTTGCCAAAAAGCAAAGGAAAACGGACACGGTGCAAGTCAGGGGAAGGTGAAGAAAAGCACTTAAAAGGTGCACAAGAATTAAAATTTCATTTTCTTTCTGCCTTCCTCCCCTCTACAGAGTAGCAAAGAGGAGACAGAGGAAGAGAAACAGCAGGATTCATTGGAAGGCAGGAGGTTCCTGATGGGCTCACCGATGGCTCAGTGCTGCTGTATGGGTGATAACTCATTGCTTCACTGCTGCTTGGTTTTAAGGGATAATCTCTGTATCATCTTGTAAAGGAGACCAAAGTGCTGGAAACAGAAGGAAAATAAGTGAGTCCTTACAAATTCTAATAAAATGACTGTGTTCTACACAGAGAGAAAACTTACTAGAAGGCTTAAAACAATACTGATGTGCAAATGCAATACCTAGTTTGGATCATCCACTAGCACTCTCATCCTGAAGACAGAGTAGGACTTTATGATTTCATTGGAAAAATACCAAAACCCTGAAGATGCATGTCTAAGCTGCATCCCAAGCTCAGATACTGGAAGGATTTCCTAACACTCCTAACTTACTACAAGCTGCAAACCTTTGACATTACAGCAGATTTTAGACACCTTGAGAAGTTTCAGTCTGACACTGTTAAAATAGCTGAAACAGCTTAACAAATGAGTTGAGCATGTCCTTGACCAAGAGAAGGAGCTCCATAAAATAGTTTTGCACTAAAATAACAAGAGATTGCTTTCAGCACAGCCAACAGATACTCAAAAACATACACATCAAAACAGCCAGCCATTTTGGATCACTAGTTTTAGGGTGGGGTGGCAATTACTGTTCCAACTTTGGAGCTGGGACTGTCTCAGCACTATTTACTGTAGCTAACATGATTCATGAGGAAAATAATACACTGTCTCCTGCTTCTCTTCTCTTACCTGCACTGCAACATAGGCAACACCAAGGTAGGCTGCAATACAGACAGCCAGCAGCAGGTCAAAGATCGCTGGCTTGACCCTGCAATAAAGATTGAACACATGAAATTGCTACAGCAGGAACTGCCACAGAGTGAGACAGTAGCCCAACATGCCCCAGGGAGTTCCATACCTGTAAGCATTCATCACCTGCTTCAACTGGTCATAGAAAACAAACTCAGGGTCCCTGTGAAAAGAAGAAATTCTTCAGATTGTATTACAACTCTTGACACTGTAGTAAGGACAGCTCAGACTTCTGTTCTCAAGGAGTTCATCCAACCAGAGACAGATACGCACCACCACCTTGCAAAGCAGTTCTGAACTGATTTTAGGTGTCAAGTCTTTCTTTTCCTACAATTGAGAACACATGCTGTTCAGCAGTCTCAGAAGAGGCGCATGGAAGATGCCTCACTGGGTTCATTAAATTGCTTCAATTCAAGCAGATTAGACAGGACAGAAACTGCCTTTTTGCAATTAAAGACAGCTTTCAAGGGGACCTCAGTCTTTTCCTACATTCAGAGAGAAGCGGCATTCAGAGTGGGAAGGGTGGAACCAAAACAGTGAAAAAACAAGCTCTTCAGACAGAGGGAGCTGCTGGGACTTGTCACTGCGCTGTAAGAAATTGTAAAGAGCTTTCTCTGGGAGAACAGAAAGAGCAACCAGTTCCAGCTACATGCCAAAAAGCCAGAGAAGCCACAGCTCAGAGACAAGATTCATCTCTTTTCTTACCGTTTGTCTGCCTTTACATGATGCTGTTTGACATCCTTCAGGTAGCGACCCATATAATACTCTAAGGTGTTGAGGAAGGTGCTGTCTTTATCAATCAGCTGAGCAGCCCTGGGCTGACTGCTCAGCCAATCCATTACTGATTCCAGTTGCTCCTGCTGGATCTGCTGCAGAAAAATACCACCAAAGAAAGAGAGTCAACCACACACGCACTGAGACCACAGCTCTCTCCCAGACTCTTGACTCCTTCTTCCCACAGGCTACAAAAAACCACTGTGCTCACCATCTGATCTGTGAAGATCTGCAGATCCGCAGGTGCTCCCTGCAAGGGAAAAAAAACAAACCTCAGGCTATTGGTGAGAGCAAGCGTGGCGGGGCAGGACAAATCTGTCTAGAACTGCACGATGGGCAGCTCTTACCTTGTCTGTTAGGTTGTAGATGACCCTTGTCAAAGCCTCAGCAATGATCCTAGTATTCCTGATTAGTGCCTTAGTGTCTATTCGTGCCCTAAAGCAAAAGAGGGGATTATGGACTTGTCAATGGGATCAGCTTCCTCTAGAAATCACCCTTTTTCACTGCATCAAAGATGAACCTGAATCCAGATCCCAGTGTTTTTCCTCCCATCCTCTGACCATCAGAACAGCACAAGCAGTCATGAGGCCACTTTGTGTTTATGGGCTGGATTCCAGCTGCAGCCTCCCCTAAGGCCTCTAACCTCCTATCCATGATGCTGTTGCGCAGGCTGTCCCGGTGGCTCTCCAGGTGAGAGATGGTGAATGCTGGCAAGCGTCGGATAGCAAAACGCTCGTGCTCCCAAGCCAGCATGTCCTCAGCCAAGTTTATCTTCTTGTGCACCATGGAAAACTTGACCTCCGGGAACTGGCTGGCAACAACCTGAAGAAAAGGACAAGCCATCCAGGGTGTCACGCTGCCCACTGCATAGTCCCATCTTGTACTGCTAAGTCCACCTAGACCAAATTTTTTTGTGTTCCAGAAGGTAAATACATTTCTACCTGTAAGGTGCACTTACTGCCATTAAAAAGGTGTTTTAATGCCACTACCGGGTAGCTTTTGCAAGCAACAAGCCATAAGGAAGTGCCAGGGAAAACGCAGCAGATCTAGTCTGCTTCATTTGGGACTGTGGCATGAGGATTTATCTGCACTTCAAATCAAGTGTCTGTAAACAATACATTAAATATTTCAACGGCACATCCTTTCTTCACATCCTTCTTCCTCTCTTGGAGAGCTGCAGCTCCCCACAGTAAGTCCCAAGTTTCCATCTACCTAAAATGCTTTTCATTACCATTTCCAGTTCTCTCAGAAATGCATGCTGCAAGGTCCCCTCTTTGGGAGGCTTTGAGACATGGAGATGAAGGCTATTGCCTCGGCCCAGAGTATCAAGGCAGAGAACAAATGCTACGTTGTCTTGCAGCAGGCTGGAATCTGGAACAGAAAAATCCAAAACTTTATTGCTGTATTTTGTTTTAGGATTTCCATCCCAAAACCACAAGGCCTACACAAGGAGATTCTCACAGGAAGGCTGACATAGTAGACACTTAATCATATTAACAGAGACCTTGCCACAGAACATGCTGAAACACCAGCCCCGTACTCACCAGTGTGGTCCAAATTGTCTTCCAGCCACCGCTTGGTTCCTTGATAATTAAACTTGCCACCTCCAGATGCAAAGAACAGCAAGTTATACCTGCCCATCAAAGACAGAAAAGCGTTACAGAACTCTCTTACTCAGCCTTGAAAGTGTGGTAAAACCACAACAGCTAGCACCTGATATTCAATGCAAACTGTCCATTAACAAATGCTTCCTACATGCCACATACTAAGGTAACCGCAGAATGGGGTAAAAGGGAGAGTTCCCAGTGCTTGAGGATGGAATCCACCTCCCACATCATTCCCCCAACTTCTCCCCAAGCCTGAGCAGAGCTACAGCAAAGAAACCAAAGGAAGGAGCTTGGCCTTTAACAGCAGTTGAAGGAAACAAAAGAGAGCAAGGGAAGTAAATGACCTCTACAGGTCTGGAGCAAAAGCCCTTCTTATCTGATCGCAGCTATACACATTCAACCAAAAATCAGCCAGTTTCTTACCCAGCATGGGTACGTCTGTAGGTGTAGAGCCGGGAAAACAGCCTGGCTAGTTCCAGTAGCACTGAGATACCACTGCCATTGGAGTCAGCACCATGTGACAGCCACTGCAGGACAAAGTGGGACAGAGACAAGGTGACAACTCTATACTTATTCTCACATACCAGAACAGCCTTCAAGATAGCATACCACCATGCTCCACTTACAACTACACATCTTTAGGGAGAAGAAAAAACATAGGGGCAGAGGCCACATGGGAAAAAAAGACAGGAACACACAGACATGAACAAAGAGCTGTAGGAAGAAAGAATACTCACTGGAGCCACTCCAAAAGAATCATAGTGAGCAACTATCACAACAGTGGGCAGGTCTTCTCCACCCAGTCCCGTCAGTCTTCCCTGCAGAGGGAAGAGATGGGTGTCACTCAGCATTGCCTCTTGTGCGCCTGTACAAAGACAGCCTGACTTCTGCACACCTATGGAGTCTGCAGCAGCCTCAGTGCCGTGGAATTCAGATACTTGTGTGGCCAAGACTCCCCTGACTTCTCCCATCAGTCCAAATGTCTGGTGAAGTCCCAATAAAAGAAAGCATCCCATCAATGTTGCCAGTTTGAATTCACACACAACTCACCTCCACACTGGGTATGAGCCAGTCATTGATAGCTTTGCTTTGAGCTCCGCTGGTCACCATCTGGAAGCCATTAGCAGTTGCCGTGTGCAGCAGAACTAGGACAAAAAGAAGAAGGAAAAAAAGTTCACCAGGGGAAGTTTCATCCCTTTATTTCCCTTGCTAACTGAGCTTTGGAGAGCCCAAGCCTTCTCACTTGTTTCTTGTGTTTACCCATTGACACAAAATCCTGGTGACCACACATTTTTGTTCTGTCCTGAAATCCCAATATTTTGAGCTGGCTAAACCAAAAGCTTTTCTTCAGCAGTCCTTAAAGTTAATCATGAGCAACAAGGTCAGTAAAACAGTAAAGTTATTCACAGGGGAATACGTGTAAGCACTGAACTAACTTGGGGTCAGACAAAACTCTTCAGCTTTTAAGAACACACTGTAGTCACTTAACATTTTCAATGTTGATTTTAACCTGAGTTTTGCTATGTTACTTCCAACAGTGTGAAGCTGAGAAGTCAACTCCAAGCAACTCTATGCCCAAATATAGTCAAGTAGTTCTCTTAGTCTGTTTTCCTTCTATTAAATCTCAAAGCACTTGAACAAAATCAGAATAAACATGAAGGCAACAGAACACTGGTTCATGGTGCACACTGACACAGCAGACTGCTCCCAGAGGTGGGATCAGGCATGTCTTCCTCTAAACCTTTCCCCGACTTGTTAGAACTCACCTTCTGCAGCTGAAGCAGAACCCTGCGATGCAGAAGCAGCCCGTGTTTGTTCATAGATAGACAGCAGCTCTTCATCTTCCACTGCAAAGTAGACTGGCACAATGGTTTCCATAGCAAGCATTTCCGGCTCTATCTCCATGAATTGCTGAGGATTTAAGTGAGACACAAACTTAGCATCTGCTAAACATGGAAGAGAGCAGAAAAAAATTAACCAAAGCAGAGAAAGAAAGGTAGGTTTTAAATTTAGAGTATGATTTGTTGTGCATTACAACAGGAGTTTTCAGTCCTGCAGCAACCTTCTCTCCCTCTCAAATACATCTCTCGTCAAAAGAGAAAGGGAACCTTTTTTTACCCTTACAACATCCTGGGGGACAGAAGAGATAGACCGTGGCAGAATGATCACCACAGCACCAGCAGACTGGCGGAGAGCCTTCTGGTACTGCTCATAGGAGAAATCCACCAGCCGCATCATGACGCAGCGGCGGCTCAGGACGTCTGCTTCTACAGTGCGGGCTTCTGTGTTAAGCACTGCACTCCTAGTCCCTGTGAGGAGAGAACAGCAAGAGGTTTTGTAAGTGATTTCTTCACATCCCATTTGCTTGATCCTAGCTCCCTCTCAGAACAGTCTTGGTGACAGTCTGATAAACTTCAGAGCAGCCAGGACTTGCAGAAAGCTAAGGTCACCCCTTCCTCCCATCCAAGAAGGAGCAGAGACGTGTGTTTTCTCCTTGCACCCATCAGAGCAACATCTGTGGAGCCACGTCCTGCCAGGCTCCCCTTACTCCAGCACTGCACAGCTTTGACCACTTTCCAGTCTTCCTCCCCACCACAACCACACAGGCTACCTGTTTGCTCATCTGCACCTAGTACCTGCAGACTGCAACAGAACTGGAGAAAGCCTGGCCTCTTGCTACGCATCCTCCAGCTGCAGGACTGCATACACAGTCAGAGGATGCAAGCTGTGCAGAGCCACTTTGTGAAAGTACACAAGGCTACCCCATGTCCAACAGGGTGTTCTAGCTCACCCACTGGGATGTTTCTGGGGCTAAGAAACTTACAAACGAGCATGCTGCTTCTAACTGCTCGCTCTCTCCTACTCTCAGTTTCAGCATATTAAATCTCCCACATTAAAATGCAATCCTTGGGAGAACAACAGTTTGGAGGCTTGCCAGCAGCTCCAGCGTTCTCCAAGGGAGGACGATAAGGACATCTTGTACAGAGACATTCAAATCCACCTTACAATTTGTAATCCTCCAAATCCAATTTTTTCTTCTATAACTCTAGCACCTACATTGAAGACTTCATCATGCTGGGTCCTCACACAGCCAGGGAAGGAGCAATGTGCACCAGAAGGCATCTCAGCCTATGCCAAATAGGAGCATTGCTAAAGGTTAGATTTAAACCTAGCTTAACTTAACTCTAACATTAGTTTGGTCTCGTCAAAGGTCAAATCACCTAAACAAGAAAAATCTGCACTTCCACTGCATAGTATCAGTGAGGGCCATACACCAGAAACAGAGTTAAGGCACAATCTAAACTACACACATGGAGCTCTTACACTGTATAACAAACAAATATAAAGAGCAGCACCTCCCTGCCTCCTCTCCCCCCAGTTACAGAAAAACAACCCATAATGAGGATAAGCCCTACATCATTCCCAGAACAATAACATGTAAACATACCAAAGTGTGGATCCAGAGCTCTGCTCCCAGCACAACCCTCTGATATCTAAGCAGAGTGGACCCAATAGTATTTTCTGACAGCAGGGCAAGACAAGCTGATTTTCTGTAGTTTCTCTATAAAGAGCTGGTTAATAATTGTTCATTTACAACCTAAAGAACTCTATTCTAAAAGTATTAGAGGAAGTCCAGGTTTGTTCTTTAATTGCTCTATGACTGATGTTGACAAAAAATTCTTCTCCACCCTGCAAGGAAAGGCTCAGCAGCAATCTCTATTTAGCCTTTTTAGAAAAGAATGTGAGAACCTGGAACAACAAATAGCTATGATCCTGAAGGACACCTGGCCTCAGTAAACACATGGAACAGGAATATCAGCTACCCAATGGGGCTGGCAAGGAACAAGGGAAACACATAATCCACTGAGCAAAAAGGCTCCAGAAAAAGAGACAGCATGAAATATAATTTGCAAGCATTAAAAAAACATGTGGTTTTCAAGAGTTCACAAACTATGTTGTGAGCACTCAGCTAGAGAGAACACTCAGGCAACCAAAGTCAAAACCAGATGAAACATGTCTGCTGCCCCCATTAGGGCTGCCAACAAAGACTTACCACTGCTTGAGAAAAAAGATAGCTTAATACCCCCACAAGAGCACCTACTTTGGATCTAACAAGGTTCCTCAACAAGGGGTCTCAAGATGTAGATATGTTTTGAGACTCTGTGATGGAAGAGCCCAGAAATAACTGCAGATCTTCAGAAGCCACCAGCAGCTCTTGTAGTGTTTACAAAGTGTGCAGGCATAGCTGGCATTTTAGAACTTCTACTGATGTTTGATCTTATGAAGATCTGAAAGATCTAGAGACCACATCTCATGGACAGTACAGAATAAAGGCGGTGCTGTAATGCCAGACCTTTAACATAAGCTTGAAACTTAGGCCACAAAAGAGACAGCGGGAAGAATCACTCACAGACACAAGACATGCCCTGATCTGGAATAAAATATCTACTGAAAACTCAGAACCAAGACTTGATTCCAGGTTAGTGAGTACACGGGGGTGGAGGCTGATTACAACACTGATGATTCGCAGAACAGGTTGTGTTTCTGACTTAAAGAAAGGTGTTGCACAATCGGCAGCCTGGAAGCAAGAGAACAGAGGAACTGGAGGTCAATTGTAATATACAGGAAGCGCTGTAAAAGAAAGGACTCTCAAACGAGGAGACACTGGAGCAATAGACACTGCTAATTAAGACTGAAGGAGAAGCTGAAAAGTGAAATAGAACCAACCTGTCAATAAAGGAGCCAGAGGCAAAAGAACAAAACTGATCTCGTGATCAAGCTCCCCAGTATGCAGAAGGGCTGCACCTGGACTACTTAAAGCCCTGGGAATTTAGTCCGAAGACAGGAGTTTGCAAGGACACAGCAGGGTGCTTGGCCATCTCTAGGTTGCCATGTGGGAGCTCTTGGCATCTTCCTGCTCCTACTGAGGCTGGGCAATAAAACTCAGCCGGATGGGGCCTGCCCGCAGCCTCCCCTGGGTCAGGGCCCGGACCGGGTCCCGGCTGCAGCCTCCCAGGACTCTGAACTTTCCGGCAGCTTCCCCTGGGCTGGGCCGCCCTCCCCGGGCCGCCTGCGGTTTTGCGGCCTACCCTGGGCGCCTCTCCCGGGGTCGAGTCTCTTCGCAGGGCCCTACTGGCCCTGAAGGGGGCCTCTGCCAGCATTCGCCCTCCCGCAGAACCGAGGTCTGGCGCAGGCCGCTGGCCGAACCGAGCCCGGCGGGACCGTGCAGCCTCTTACCGTAGGGCTGCCCGCCCAGCTCGTACTGCTGCATGCGGTAGACCGTGAACTCGTGGGCGGCCTCGGCGGCGGGCGGCGGGCCCAGGAGCAGCAGCACGGCGGGCACGAAGAGCAGGAAGCTGAGCGGCAGGCACGAGGCCTTCAGCACCGACTCCAGCACCTCGCCCGCCTCCTCCAGCATCGCCGCGGCCTCCACCCCGCCGCTGCGGCCTGCTCCCCCGGCACGCACGACGCGGCGACGCGCGCACGAAGCGACACGCACCCCTGCAGGCTGCCGGGAGCTGTAGTTCGCGCGGCCCCGCGGTGGGCGCTGGGAGCTGTAGTCGCGGCCGCCCGTGCAGGGGCGTCGCTGCCCTGCCTGGCCGGCAGGGGCCGCTGCACTTCGCCGCGGCCTTGCGCGCGTCCCTCGGACCGGGACCGGCGGGTCGGGGCCCAGCGCGGCATCCGGGGACGGGACGGAACGGAACAGAGCAGAGCGGAGTGATCCCCGGAGAGGGACCGTTCGGGGAACGCCTGCACCCACCGGCACGCTTGGACACGGAAGGGCAGCCGCGAGGCCCCGCGGCGAGCGGGCTCCGGCCCGGCCCCATCTCCCCGCACTGGCCCGTGGCCGCGTCAGCCCTCCCGACTGCCGCGGGGAAGGCCCCCGCCTGCGGGAGCCGCAAGGAAGATAAAATCATGGCAAATCAAACAGGGGGTTTCTTATCATCTCGATTTATTGCAAACCAAACAGGCCGTGAGCTCGGCACCGCCTCCCGAGGGGCCAGGATGGCAGGTTTTACCTCCTGAGAAGCTTCTCCTCCCCAGCGCTCGGGTGGCTTCAGCCTCCCCGGGTGGTGAGAGGAGGCGTTTGGGCGCTGCTCTGATTTTTCACTTGGTAGGGCAGAGCAGAGCAGTGCTCGGCCCTGGGGCAACAAGGACAATCCATATGTGACTGCTGTGAGCTCCTGGGGTTCTGAGGGACCTTCTTTGCTGTTGGTGCTGCCCAGCTCACAGGGAGGCAGAGACCCTCAGAACATTTCCCTAGCAGAGCATTGACGACCCCCTTCTCCAAATGTGGCAGCGTTTAGAGCAAATGTGCTGGGATCAGACCCCTCCATTCTTCCCCTGGCTGCGCTGAACTTCAGAAAGGCTTGGGGCAGGCTCCCCCAACTCTTGCCTCTTGACTCTGCTGCAGGCTGTTAAAATGATGCCTGTAAATCTGTTCTGTTGCAAACACTGTTTTTGGAAAGGTTTCTGGAAGGATGTAGCCTTTTCAGCCCAAAAAGGAAGAGGAAACAATTCCTGCTGCTTCTGCTCATGAGTGAGTCAAACCCCACCAGAGACAATAGAATGCAAAACCATTTAGAAGCTGCTGCTCAACCTTTGTGGGCACCTCCCCCTGTGTGGGGACCTTAGAACTTGGCACATTTGCTGGAGCACGACCTCCCTTCTCTGGGAGGCCACAGCACTGCCACCCCCCTGCTCTACGGGTGTACGTTGCCTGAGGGGTTCAGCTGGATGGGAGCAGGTAGCTCTGCCGTGCTGGGTTGGACCAGGCTCCCCAGTGACTGCGGGTGCCTCCTGTGGCAGTGCCAGGGCTGCCACTGCGGGTGCAGCCCCATACCCAGAAGCACAGCAGAGCTCTTCTCGCTGCCAGCGCTGTGAGCACCGTCACAGCGTTTGCCTGGTCTCTGCAGCCCAGTGAGGGACTGGGCTGGTGCTGCAGCCCTCTGCCGTTCTCTGGCTGGTGGGCACTTGGTTGCTGGCTGGGGGCCTCTGAGCTGCCACACAGCTGCACACACTTGCACTTGCAAATCCAGTTGTTCTTGACTCGCTGGCAAGACACCAAGACTGTAATCCTGCACTCTTTGCCAGCAGCTGTGCCCATCACAGCAGTTCCAGGAGGCTGTAAACTTCAGAAGACTCAAGTGTCACCTCCAGCCCTGTATGACACACAGTGGCAGCACTGCCAGCCCAGCCTGATCCCCAAGGGTTGGGAGACAGTCTGGCTGGGGATATCCACCCTGCGTCCTGGGGCCAAACGCTCTCATATGGGCAGGTACAACATCTATATACATGCACATGCAGAACAGAGTCCTCTTATCACTTAGGCACAGCAATTGTCTCAGCAGAGCATCAATCCCAAAATGTGCCCATATCCTTCACTCCCATCCTAGGAGCAATGTCTGTCCCTGTGCCGCACCCACACTGCGGCGACATCCCAGTCTGGTGGGGTGTGAAGCATGGCCAGCAGGTCCAGGGAGGTAATTCTGTCCCTCTACTCTGCTCTGGTGAGACCCCACCTGGAGCACTGTGTCCAGTCCTGGAGTCCTCAGCACAGGAAGGACATGGACCTGTTGGAACTGGTCCAGCAATGGGCCATGAAGGTGATCAGAGGGCTGGAGCCCAGCTCCTGTGAAGGCAGGCTGAGCATTGGGGGTGTTCAGCCTGGAGAAAAGAAGGCTCTGGGGAGACCTTATAGCGGCCTTCCAGTACCTAAAGGGGGCCTACAGGAGAGCTGGGGAGGGGCTATTAATCAGGGAGTGGAGCAATAGGACAAGGAGTAACGGTTTTAGACTGAAGGAGGGGAGATTTACACTAGATATTAGAAAGAAATTCTTTCCTGTGAGGGTGGTGAGACACTGGCTCAGGTTTCCCAGAGAAGCTGTGGATGCCACATCCCTGGAGGGGTTCAAGGCCAGGCTGGATGGGGCTTTGAGCAGCCTGCTCTGGTGGGAGGTGTCCCTGCCCAGGGCAGGGGGGTTGGAACTGGATGATCTTTAAGGTCCCTTCCAACCCGAACCATTCTATGATTCTATGACTGAAAAGCCTGGCCAGTTAACAACTGGGGTGGGGGCTGCACCTGGTCAGCTTGAGCTGCATATAGGCTTCAGTTCTGCCAGGCCAGGACCAGCAGCATGGGGTCCTAGTGGGCTGTCTGGCATTTCTTGCTCTCCCCAGGGCCTTTCAGAGGCTGGGGAGATTGCTCATCATGCTGGAGTTGCTGGAGAGAGGAGCTCTGGGCCGGGTGTTCTGTGTTACAGAGTTGCGGAAGCTCTCCCGGTAGCGGAGGGAGCTCTCTGTGGATGAGCCAGAGTTGATGTCTGTGACGACCAAGCAGTTCCCAGGCTTGCAAAGCCCAAGTCTGACACAGCAGCAGCACGCCAGGCTTCCCATGGCACGACGCACCTCCACACTCCGCAGGGAATAAATGACAGGATTAATGCCAGAGTTCAGCATGGCCAGAACCAAGGTCCAGTCTAGGCTGTGGAGGTGTGTGCAGGTCTGAGTCTCACAGAAGACATCAAAGAGTAACAGGACAAAGAGTGGGCTCCAGCAGATGATGAAGGCGCCCAGGATGATCAGCACAGTCTTGAGCAAGCGCAGAGACCGTTTGCGGCTGTGCCGAGAACTGATTTGCTTAGAACTGGCTCGGACCAGCTGGAAGATGGAGATGTAGAGGCCGATGATCCCCAGGAGGATGATGCTGAACATGACTACAGAGAAAAGGATATAGTTCTTGGAGTAGAGAGGCAGGAGGACAGAGCAGGCATTGAAGTCACACAAACAGTTCCAGCCTAGCAGTGGAAGCAGTCCGATGATGAAGGCCAGCAGCCAGCTGGAAACGATCAGGCTGCGTAAGCGCAGGGTCTTGCTGGCTTCATTCTCAGCAATTGGCCTTACCATGGCACTGTATCGCTCAATGGCAGTCACAAGCAAGCTGAATGTGGAGGCAGCCAGTGCAATGAAGAGGATGCCTTCCCGCAGGAACCAGAGCTGTGGTGAAAGCTGGAAAGTCTTCTTGCCCGAGAGGCAGAGATTAGAAAGGTAGGCAATTCCTGCAAGCAGGTCACTCACAGTGATGCTGGCAATGCAGGAGAAGACCCAGCGGCGGGCTCGCAGACACCGCAGGATGGCCAGCAGCACAAGCAGGTTCTCCAGAATGATGATACAGCTGATGATGACAAAGGTTGTGCGGAGGGGACCCATGCCCTCATCCCGAGACTGCCGGTTGGTCAGCTTGCCTGTGAAGTTGTAGTGCTCCAGGATGATGTTCACATTCCTCATGGCAGCCAGCTGCAGGCAGGAAACTTTTCTGTCGAGTAGGTCAAGTCTGAGCTCAGGATAATGAGCAGAGTCCAGTGGAAAGGAGTGATTTACCAGCCAGCTCAGCTCTGGGCCATCCATCTTCTGATCCTAGGTCAACAGCCAAGGGATGCACGTTGGAGCAATGGTGTGAGGTGTGGTTTGGAGCAGAGCAGACCCGCTGTTTGAGGACTGGAGTCAGCTGTGAGACAGCCACACAGGACTGGCTATACCCAGCATGGAGACAGGAGTTAGAGCCCTGTCTGCCAGCCCTGTGGCACTGGAAGAGCAAGGAGAGAGGAGGGTAAGATGTTTTGTAAGTCCATGTATGAGTATGGGCTTCCTGTTGTTTAATAAAGTTTCCTGTTGTGAACTAGAGTATTGACATCGTTTCTAACAACTCTCATAATTTCTCAGTAAAGGTCTGGCTATTCTCAGCTTTGCGGTGGTTGCGAAGGTGGGACATGAATGAAATAATGTCAAGCCCCTCTTTAAGTCAGGGTCAAATGGGGTAACATCTCCCACCCTGATGGTAGGGTCTGTTGGGCTGAACAAAGCCAAGTGATAGTGAGAGAACCTGGACAGCCTGAGGCACTAAGTGCTTTGCCTTTTGTGGCATTAAATTCACCCCTGAGTCTGGCAGAGCAACTGCCTCTTCATCAACTGCCCTGTGCACCACCCATGCCCAGATACATCCTTCTCCAGGAAGAAGCCCCATGCTCTCACCCCTCTGGAATCCCCTGTGGGCCCAGCTCCTATCAGTCTCTCAGGACACATCCATACAAGTCCTGCCCTGTCAATGCAGCAGGTCCAGGCACTTGTGTGTCTGGGGTGAGGGCCCAGTTCCACTCAGCTCAAAGAAAACCAGCTTGTCAAAGCTCTGCATGTGCCCTGGCACTGCACCCTCCACCTTCAGCTCTCCAAGCACCCCCTAGAGATGGTCAGGATCTTCCCATTGTCTAAGTCATGAACAGGGAAATGAAGCACAAAGCAGCTGCCTCTTGCCTGGAACTGTGGAACGCGCAAGGGGCTGCACTGGGAGCAGAACCCAGGAGTCCTGACATGATTGTAATATTAATGTCTATCATTGACCTATTCCCTGTGTCTGCAAAACATGACTGGAGAGAAAGTCTTGAAGCACGCTATTCCCAACCGCAGCAGTTGAATTTGCCTTATGACTCACCTGCCATGACTGGACAGAGGCTCTCGCTGCTGGAGGGACGTTCAGCAGCCAGCAGTGCTCTCCGGCTGCTTGTCTGAGGCCCAGCAGAGAGCAGGTAGCGGGGAGGGCTCCTTGTGCAAAATAAGTGAGACTTCTACCTACCAAAGCAAAGTGGAAAAAGGGAAGTTACAACATCAACCACATTTCTGTGCAGGATGGACCCCACCCAAAACAGCAAACAGGCATAGAGAAAAGAGAGGGCGAGCACCTTTTAACTCAGCATCACAGCAGCAGCTGTGCCCTGCTTTCACCTGTGTGATTACTCCAGGCTGGCACAAGGCCATGGAGAGGTCCTCAGGCTGAAAGCAGAGAGGTGATTTCTTCCATCAGCATGGCAAGCAGGGAGTTGTCCTGGGAGTCCATCCACTCTTGATTAGTAGCAAGATCCTTGCCCGGATCACAGTACAGACAAGTGGAAAATGCAAAGGAGGTTCCTGGTGCAGGAAGACATGTGCAAGCAAGAGTGGTTCTCATTAAAAGCTGAGGGATCCATCCTGCACATTCACCCTTTCAACTGGTGTTTTGGGCTTTTCTATCAGCAGTGTAGAAAAGAAACTCATGCTGGTAAAGTCAGCAGATGACCTCAAGACTGAAGGAGCGGAAATCAGCAGGTAGCCCGGGCCATGAGTGCAGCTCAGTCCAGAGAACTGGAGTGCGAGGTTGCATGTTTGGCGCAAAGAGCACACTCCCAAATGGGCTGGGCAGGTGCTCCTGGCACAGCACTGGAATTAAAAGGGTCAGTGTGATTCTTGCACATCACCCTGCCTTATTCTTGCTTCAGGCTGAGCCTCCAGCTAATGTGTCTGCTCAGGACAGAACTGGTGGGATGTCCCTAAAAGATCAGAGGATGAAGAAACTTGCCTTGTCAGGGGCCCTAAGTAGCTGCTCAAATAGCTGGAAGCACATGAGAGATACCTGACAGGAATAAGTTCTTTGTCAGGGAGATTTGTGGCGGGTGTGGGTCAGGTGGGAGGCAAATGCTTTTGACAGCAGGAGGGCTTGAGGCAGATAAGCAGCTGGGACAGCTCACCCAGGGGGTGCCAGCTCCTCTGGACCACTAAAAGACTCTTCCTAATGCTCCTTCCACAAGAACATCAGGTGCTGTCTGAAAGGCATCTTTTGTCAAGAGCTGTTCCAATGAGGCAAAAACTTGTTTCTTGGTGTGTCCCAGCACCTGGCTTGTTTGGCCTTTCCATAGTGGAGGGGACAGGGTTCCTGCAAGGGACACTGCAGTTTCACAGCAGTCGTGAGGCAGATGGGCTCTGGGAAGCTCCATAAGCCATGTCCCAGGCCTTGTGCTCATTCCTGTCCCTAGCAGCCTGCAAAGCGTTCTGCCTCACGGCGAGGCACCACACACCCCAAACCCTGCTCCCACTCACAGCAAGTCAGGGCACAGTCCCACAGCCTGGGGTCTCCTCCTCTCCATGCAATCAGCTCAGCGGCATGGGGCACAAATCTGTCCCTGTGTCCCCCTCAGAGCTGCTGCCAACAGACCCGAGGCAGGGGCTCCCCAGTTCCACGGCTGGGGGCAAATGAGGCTCCCTCATGGCTGGGCACCCACACAAGGGAGAGTTCCTGTTGTTCTGCAGTGGCTCCCCATTGCTATCTGCACAGACGCAGGATGAGCTTTATCTTGGTACTTCTCCTTTGCTGCCGTTTCAGTTCAGATGTTCTTTCTTTGAAATGAAGGGGGGGGAGACACACCCCCCCACACCCCCATCCTGCAACGTTTCTCATCTCTTTCCTTCAGATCAAGACCACAATCTACTTGAAACTGCCTGATAGCTGCTGAGTGCTGGGCTTAGAAGGACCAGGGGCCCTTATGGGTGCAGCTGCAGCCCCCTGAGCCCTCTGCCAGAGCTGTGGCCTTAGCGGGTGTTCACTGATGCCGAGATGAGGCGCCTTCACAGCAGAAGCCCTGGAACCCTCCACTTGCTCCTACCAAGAGCAATGGGAAGGCAGAAGCACCTTGGCCCCAGAGGAAAGACTGCAGACAAGGATGCCCAGAGAGGAGCAGGGCAGGAGCCCGGCTCCAAGGGTTTGTGGCCAGTGGCCAGTGTCATGCCCAGTCACTCCTCCCCTGAGACCGCCTGCTCCTGCGAGAGCATCTAGCTCCAGATTGTGGGGGGCCGTGAGCAGCTGCAGGGGAAAGACAGCAAGGTACAAATGCAAGATAACATATCGATGATTTCTGTTGAGGTTTTCCTGCTGTGCTGCTGCACAGTCCTGATTAAAACTTTTCTTTTCAGACACTCTGATTAAAAATAAAAATCCCTCTGTGAAGCTCTGTGGAGAGCTCTGCCTGGTGGGCTATCCAGGCAACCCCCAGGCTAGGTCATGAACAGTTGGCAGCCCCATCTCTGTCCCAGAGGGCTTCCTCCCCACCCATCCTGTCCCCGCTTGTGTGGCCCCAGCACAGCTCAGCATCAGCCAAGGCATCCATTTGCCCACAGGTGTTTTTCTGCTCCAGGAAGGGTGGAGTTGTGCTGGTTTAAAAATGACTGATTACTCCTGGCACTTGGTTGGTTGCATTTCCTACCTTTGGTCTGTTCTACTGTGCAGCAGTAGGAGGTCATCTTTCCAGTGGCACATCCCAGTCCTCAGTGTGGTAGGATGCTTCTGGCCCCAGAGGACCTGGGAAGAACCAGCGGGGCCCCACTGACTTGGGCTGACACCAAACGCTGGAGACATGGCCCTTGACAGTGCCCAAAGATTGTCCCAGGCACCATTGTTGTGCTTGGGTGTCAGTTTGCTGAAGTTGGGCAGTGGTGATGGTGAGTCTCTGCAGTGCATCTCTGGATTTGAAGGAAAACAAGAACGCGAAGGAGAAAGTCTCATGATCATCTCCTTTAGACCACAGTAATGACCTTAAATGGCAAAGTTTTGTTGATTTTTTTCCTTAAGTGCCTTTTCTTTAGAAACTTACATTTTCTCAATGCAACAACATTAAACAGAAAGCAAACAGTTTTATAAAATCCCGCTCCGCACCCCACTAAAAAAATAAAATTACTTGGAAATCATCCCAATAAAACACATCATTGGTGGCCAGCCAGACCCCGTCTGCCATGGTGTCACACCTTTCCCCCCTTTGCGACAAGTTTAAGATTTTGACCTTTTGGCTGGCCTGCAGTGACACCCCTCAGTGCCTGTAGGACAGGCGCTTCGGAGGAGGTCATCCCTGAGCATCCCTCCAGAGGGAACATGCGGCAAATACAAATTCCTGAGTCTCACTGCTTCTTTACAGTGTGGAATTTCATGCTGCTCCTGACGGCCCCTGACAATTGCCAGAGAAGCAACTCCTACCCTCCCTAGGTCTGGATTTTGGCCCAGGAAGCTGGAGAAGCTGGACCAGCCCAGTGCCTGTTCTCCAAACACCAAGCCCAGTACCAGCTCTTCTACTGTGCCTGGGACGAGCTCTGCTTTCCCCTCGCATTTCCTGCCCTGTAGACACATCTCCAGCGAGCAGACTTCTTCCCCCGGAGGGAGGGAGCTACATGGTGCTCCTCTATCTCCATTCAGCCTGACTTGGCCAGCCACGGTCAGCATGGTGTGACCAAGACCATGAGGCTACTCCAGAGACCTAGCTGGAGCCTCGGGCCTGGTGTCCCCCGTGCAGGACCCATAGAACCCCTCATGTGAGCTCATCAACACTGCTTTGCACCCTCTGGGGCAGGGCCCAGCTCAATGCCAGACCCGCCCCCACGGGCTCACAGCTGAGAGCTGTTTCTTCCCATGTTGATGTGGCGATGGCAGGGTGGAACCAGCCCTCACCCAGGAAATGGGCCGGGAGGGCTCAGTGTAAACAGGAGGGTGATGGCGGTGCCGGCGGGCGGCAGGGGTGTGGTGCCAGTGCCAGGCAGAGGAAACAGGGCTGGTTTGAAGCCTGCAGAGGAAGGACAAGCAACACACCATCCTGCGGTTCGTGCTGCCTGACTGGGGCAGGGGCAACGTGTTTACCAGCAGCAAGGGCTGGTGTCTGAAGAGCATAAACTCAACTCAAGCTCTGCTGCTCACCATCCTTTGCATCACTTCCTCCACCTGCTACTTTCCCTCCCTGCCTGTTATACACAAGGATACAGAGCAGTTTTGGAGCAGAGAACCACTGCCTGGTTTCTGCCGTGAGCAGCAGAGCCTGGGCCTGGTCCTGCTGACCCAGCTGTTACAGAGCAATGCGTGGCCCTGAACACCTGTGCTCAGGGCTTTGGGCTCAGCACCACTGGGACCAGGGAGAAATCAAGATCTTTGCCCAAGGCTATTGCAGGATACAGACTTATGGAGAGAGCTGCTGCTGACAGAGAGAAACAAGGGATCCGAGTGCAGTGAGAGCCCTGTAACTGGGAGTAAAGTTTTAGTCAAACAAAACCCCTGATGCAGGACAGCCCATGCTCCCGGAGTGCCTTGCCTGAGTTAGTACAGCCCTACCATGAGCCCAGTGGCTCTTCTGATGTCTCTGGGTAGTAAGAGAGGGATATATTTATCTGCTGGTTTGTTTATACCAGCACAAATATTCTGACTTTATTTCCAGGAACTGTTTCTGGGGTTTTCCATTCTCATACCACAGCCCTCCCTCGAATGCCCTCCTCCCAGCAATGCAGACTAACTGGAAGATCAGCCCCACTGACACCCTGGTGCCCTCCTGGGACATTTGCCCTGTCGTCTTGCTCGTATGCCCCCAGCATGGGTACCCTGCTGTCAGCTTGCCCAGAGTACCCCAGCTTTGAGCCCTGGCTGGGAACAATGAAGACTGGCCCAAGCAGATGAGTGCTGTGCCTCCGCCAGTGGGCACCTTACCGGAGATGGCAGACCCAGCCCCGGGTAGAGGCAGTGACAGCACCTTCATGCTACGCCAGGGACTGCCCGCACACGGCACATCTGCCAGGAAGCAGCAGCCTTACTGCATGACAAAAGGGTTTTTAGGACAGATCTTCCTCCTGATCCACTCTCCTTTGCTGGGAGCCTTGGCACTGTATGTGCTTTTTAACCTGAAATCACATGCAGCAGGAAGCTGGAACCGTGTCTTGGGCAGGCACAACTGAGTTTAAACCACTTCTCACAGACCTATATTAGGACTGGTAACCAGAGACTGCTCCAGAGATTGTGATTTAGGATTAAAACAAGAGCCATTTTCTTCAAGTGGCGTGCAGACCCCTGAGGAGTGTTGGCAGAAAGTGTCCCAACAAACAGGCACACAGACAGGGCCTTTGGGCAGAAAAGTCTCCCATAGCAGGATCAAGGATTCGGGAACAGGGCAGGGGAGGCAATGAAGCTTCAAAGTAATAATTGTTCTGTTGCCTTTGTCCACAACGCCAGGAAGGGACAAGAGCAGCAGGACTGGTGCTCAGTTTAGCATTTAACCAAATCATACTTTGCTATGGGCAAGGTGAAGACAATAATTGCAGCCTGGTTTGCAGGCAATTTCAGGTCAGGGAAGGGAGAGAGCAGAGAATCCGGAGCAGGGTAGATGGTCCCATTTGAACAGAGGTGATAGTCCAGCTGCAGAGACAAAACCATAGATGGGAAAGAGCATCTGCAGCCATTGTACTTGTCAACAAAACATGATGTGACCTGACCACCCCCAGGAGCAAGCGGCATGAGCTACTGAAGGTACAGTGCGAAACAGCCTGATTGCCAGCAGCCAAAACCACCATGCTTTGAAGCAGGTGGATGTGATTTGTCCTGCAGCCAAACTGTGGGAGAAATGCTAATTCACACCTCAAACCACCCTGGGACACCTCTCCCAGCCAGCATCCCTGAGGCTTGGGGACTGTGTTGTACCATGCTTTCTCTGCCCTGGCCTTTCTGTCCTGCTCTATCACTCATCAATCACAGCCTCAGGGCATGTTGGGCATGTAAGCCAGCTGGGGCAGCAGAGATGCAGATAGACCTGCAGGGATGCTGCACTGCTCTGATTAGCACAATCAGGCCATCACACATGGCTTCCTGGCTGCCGGGTACAGCTGGTCCCCGGGTATAAAACCAGCCCTTGGGCACTGGAAGATTCAGACTTCCACACACCTTGGAAGGAGTATCCAGCTGTGGGAAGTGATGTGCCAGCCCCAGCCACTGCTGCTGGCCCTGCTGCTCCTGCTGTCCTGCCCATGGGCCACTGCCAGTAAGCTGGGGTGCCACAAGCTGCTGGAAGTGATGCTGCTAGTCTGGGCCCCAACCTCAGCAGCCACCGGCTCATCCTGCGGTGGGGTGTCTTGCAGGTGCTCTACGGGATCAGATTGTGGGGGGCCATGAGGCTCAGCCCCACTCCCACCCTTACATGGCATACCTGAAGGTAGGGACATTTTCCTGTGGAGGCTTCCTGGTAGCCCCTGACTGGGTGATGACAGCCGCACACTGCATGGGGTGAGTACTTCATACAGGAGCTTTATCCCCTCTCTTCCTCCCCTCACCTGTGAGGTCCACCACTGGAGTAATTTTGGAGTAGGTTCCCCTTCCTCCTGTGCTGAGCATCTCTCTCCACCTGCCTGTGAAAGGGGAGGGATGCGGGTGAGACCCAACTTGCTTTCCCCCCTCTCCCCTCTGCTGCCACGGCTAGGAATGCAACAGTCATCCTGGGGGCTCACAACATCCTTGTGCCAGAAACGACCCAGCAGATCCGGGGAGTTGTCAGATACCACCAGCACCCTGAATATGACCCGAACACTGTGTCTAATGACATCATGCTGCTCAAGGCAAGGCAGTCCCGCAGCGGGTTGGAGGGTAGAGTGGGGCTGTGTGTCTGGCAGGGTCTTGCTGTCAGCTCCATCCACAAACCATCAGCTGCTGTTGCCCATGAGTGCTGGAGGCAGGCAGGAATGGGAGAGAGCTGTGAAGGAAGGGTGGGCAGGGCCCCCTATTTCAGCTACTCACCAGAGCCTGCAGTGCTGTATATCCCACTAGAACTCCCCTACCTCTGCGCACAAAGTGTCCTTCAGCTGTTCTGCTCATAGCCTTCTCCAAAAACCTTGTTTTCTCGCAGCTGACAGCGAAGGCCACTCTCAATGACTATGTGACGACCATTCCACTGCCCAAGACCAGCAGTGACCTCCCCACGGGCACCAAGTGCAGCATAGCCGGCTGGGGCATGATCGATAACGACCAGGCAACCAACAAGCTCTTTGAAACCAAAGTCTCCATCTACAACCGCAGGAAATGCATCCACTTCTATCCACATCTCAACACTGGCATGGTCTGTGCCGGCAGCTTCCATGACCTCAGGGATTCCAGCCAGGTAGAGGCTGTGATGGGCTGGGGGCTGGCTGGCTCTCCAGGAGCAGGGGCTGCTGCTGGCACAGACCTAGCTGATTTCCAGGAGAGGTGACAAGCATTTGATTTGTAGCTCTCATGTGGACTAGCTCCGTGGATGCCTTGACAGCATGGTCCACGCACAGCCCTAGGAGCTCCAGGCAGCTCCTCCAGGCCAGTGCGCATGTGGGGCAGGAGCAGAGACACAGCCCTGCTGGCAGTGCCTGGGCAGGGAGGGACCGAGGTGAAACCTGCTCCCACAGGGAAGAAACCTCTAAAACCAGTTTCTCATCTATTCTCAGGGAGATTCTGGTGGGCCCCTGGTATGTAATAAGGTGGCACAAGGCATCGTGTCCTTTGGGCATGACACCCCACCCGGCGTCTACACCCGCATCTCCAACTACTTGCCCTGGATCAAAAAAATCATGAAGAAGAAGTAGCAGCAGCAGCACTTGCTCCAGCGTTGATGTGGCCCTGGAGACTGTGCTGCTTTCCTCCCTGCCCCTGCTGAAGGCTTGACTCCCTCCCCTCCTCAGGAACCCGAGTGACATCCTTGGTGCCTCAGGGGTCCCCTTCTTTCTGTGCTGAGGCTGCTGGCTATCCCATTCGATGCCCATCTCAGGCAGCCAGTTCAGGGCCATGTTAAACTGCCTGGCGGAAGAAGGGACCATCCTGGGTGGCACCAGAGAAAAGCTGTGCGACAAGACTCCATTTCCTTCTGAGCTAACGCTGTCCCTGCTTGAACCTTGCTGCACTTAAAATACCCACAGTAAACTCAGATCTGCACTTCCCTGTGTATGCACTGTCTCGTACCTTGCCCCAGAGGGAAGGGGGTCTGGCTGGTGGCAGCAGGAGGTCAAGCCCCTTGGGACAGAGGCAGCCGCAGCTCCGCACCCTCCGAGCAGCTGCCAGATAGTTGCCTCTCTAGGGGTGATGGGGATGAGTGTGTTGCAGGAAGAGAAACTGCCTAGGTAGAAGCAGGCTGGTAAAAGTGACATGCTCATACAGCCTTCACCAACCTCAGCAACATCACCACCTGCCTGGGAGCAGCTGACAGGCAGGACATAGCATGCCAGCGGCTGCCATTCCCTGCAGAGGGATGACTGTCCCCTCTGCAGGGACCATGTGCCTGGGTGATGTTGCACCCCAGGACATAGGGCAGCAAAGACAGCAGGCTGAGTCACAGGGGAAACCAAGCCAATCTTTTCAGCTGTCTTAGCTGTAAGAGGCAGGTGAAGGGAGCTGAACTTTTTGTGGACTGTGCTGTTTCTGTCCCCCCTCCTTGGGCATAGGGCAGGTGGCAGCTGAGATCACAGGGATGGGGCTTTAGGATCCCAGAGAGGAGACATACTCAAAGTCCCAGCTCGTTGCACAGCAGTGCTTTTGATCTTTGCTTCTGCCATTCTCCAGCAGCCATGGTCCTCCATCCCCTGAACAGCAACGTGTTGTCCAGGGCATAGACATGGATACAGTCTCTGAAATGATTGTACTGGAAGGGTTGATAAAGGACCTGGGCTCACAAAAGCACCTTACCCCATGCCAACTACAGCAGGAGAGATCGACTGTCCCTGGAGGAGGCAAGGGCGAGTCCAGGAGCCGGGAGCCATCTGTCTTGGAGCTTGTTGGCATGTTTCTGTCCCTCTTGGGAAGGTGTCGCGGATGGAGTGATTGACTTCACTAGTTAGAGTGAAGTAGTGAAATCTTTATCAAGGTGAAACAGTGATATAACAAAATCAGTAGTAAGTGCGATAAAACCAGTAGTAAATGCAATAGTGTTTTATGAGATTCAATGTCAGGGTACACTCTATTATTTACTGCATAGAGGACAGGGTCAAACAAGCTGTCAGGGAGACTCTCCTGTTGAGTCACGAGATTCAGAAAGGACCCCCTTGCTTTCTAAACGCCTTCTCAGAGAAGAGTCTAGGTGCCACTGGATCCAATCCTAGTCCCAGACTTGGTCAACGGTTTATGTCTAAAGGATTATATATATGCAATCAATCCTTTATATTACTTTGATAAGATTTCAAAGTTTAGCATGCTATTAGTCACTTACAGAGAATCTGTCGCATTAAGGAGTCTCTCAGCCTCGAGGAGTAGAACCTGAAGTGAGCGTCCTCACCAAAGGGGAGATCCTGGCATGCAGCTGCTGCCATACAGGAGAGCTCAAAGGGCTCTTGGGCTGTCCGCTATTTGTACCGCAAGATAATTGACCTACAGTCATATTATCATGGGAACAAAATTTCTAGGTCCCCACTCCAAACAGTGTTTTGGCTGTGTTGCCAGCCATTCCTCAAAGTCCAGGTGCAAGTTATCACAACTGCTGTTGTGATGGCCACGGTGGCCAAGGCCTGAGCAGGAGCTGGGGGGGGGGCAAAAACAGGGAGAGCACACCGCCACAGAAGGCAAGCCCAGCCTTGGCAGCACAGCATGAGTAGAGACTGTTCTAGCAGTAGCACTAAACTAAAAGAGCTTACAACCCTCCCCTCAGCCGAGCGGTGCTCAGCGGTGAGCTTCTCCTCCCCACAGAGGATGCTCCAGTGCCGTTTTCAGACAGTCCCTGCACTAGACTCGGAATACCTTGCGCCAACCCCTCCTTCCACAGCCTGCCCTGGGGGTAAAGCAGCCTGCCCAAACTCTGAGCTCTAGCCTCCTTCATTGCAGCCAGTTTTTCATGACGTCTCTCATATACAAATAGGAGAGTGCTAGAAACGTTCCTGGAGGAGATAACAAGGGGCAGAGACAGTGCATTTGTAAGTAAACAAGCTGTAGAACTCCCTGGTGCAGGATGACGGATGTCTGTGCAAGTTCAAGGAGAGACCAGACTGGTTTGATGCGGGGAAACCCAGAGGTGAATTTTTAACGTACAGAACCCGTGTGCAATTCAAGGGAACAGGATGCTTGCCCTGTTCTCATAGTCTTTCCTAGGCTCCCACTAGCCACCTCTGTCAGAGGGAGGAGATGGCCTGCGGTCTAGCCCTGAACGTTACTGTTATTGCCTGGAATGAAGGGAAATGACGTTGCCTTTGCCTTCAGCACCCATGACACCCTGGAGAAACTGAGAAGGGTCCATAGTTTGGGCTTCTACTAACAGCTGCTATCAGCTAGGAAATCTGCAAGTGAATAGGCTGCAACTGCTTATCTTCATAGCACAAATCTTTCTCACGTCAGGGTTTTCCTTGCAGCTCCAGCTACTGCAGCGTTTGCACGAGAATGACAAGTTTTAGCTTAAAACCGCTTTTGGCCTGTGGCACTGGGGGCAGATAGGAAAGAAAATTTACCGGCAGTCAGTGATGACAGTAAAGATGTAACAACCCCATTTTGTCACAGCCACGGAAGGAACCACTGTTGTGGAAGATGCTCATCTTCCACCTTTTGCTGGAGCCATTCACTGGTGCGGGGAGGGCAGGGGACATCCTGGGGGTCGGAGGTGGGGGAGTGTGTTCAGTGATTTACCACCAGCCCCTCCACTGGCTGTGGGCTGGAGCAGCAGGAGGTGAAGCTGCCATTGGTCTGGTCCAGGGAAGACACAACCCCGCTGTGCACCGCAGAGAGGCACCTGGCCCCTCTTTGGGAGCTCAGATCGGCCGCCTGGCAGGGTGGGGACATGCTTGGACACGACCCTTCCCAGAGGAACAAGAGCAGGTTCAGGGAGGCGTGCCATTGGCTATCTCTAGCTAGTGAAGGGGCAGAATCCCAAACCTGCATCTCTTGTCTCCATCCACTTCAACATATCAGAGGCAAAGCAAGTCCCTCCTCAAGGAAGGGTCTTCCCATCTTCTCTCACACTGTCTGGTAAGATACAGCAAACTCCCCTATTTACCAGTGAACAATTACATCTGGAAAGAAACATTTAAAATGGTTTCTTTTGCTGTAGAAAGCACAACAGTCAGCAGCTGGCGCAGAATAGAGACATCACAGGCAACAGCAGCAGTTAGGCTGCTGTGGGCCATGGTCATGAAGCTGCCATAACAACTGCTTGCCCTCACATAGCCATGACTAGTGTGGTGCTATAAATGCACTCACACCAACTTTGCTCTATTAGCCGGGACCACACCTACAAAGAAAGAGCAGGAGGGTTCTCAGCTGCCACTGCATGGTCTTTGGAACTAGTACATCGAGTGGGAGAAATCTCGTTCTTGCAAGGCTCATGATAAAAAATCAAGAGAGTTTGCAAGTGTCCAACAACAAATATGAGCTGCAAGGGCAGATCCCCACTGGCAAAATGATGAGGATGGATATGCTCCCTGTAGCTTCCAGCCCAAAGGCAATGGGTTAAAATCTTTAGATTTTAGGCTTTAGAAGGACATCAGAAACCCCAGATCAGGTCCGACATGAAGGTGGGTTGATGCCCAAGGCTAAGGCTGACTGAATTCCCCTCTCGGATCGCTGAGGCATGCAATTTGCAGATAGATGAATCAGATGAATCTGATTTCTGTGGTTTCCTGGAGTCTAGTCTCATGCTATAAAACCTTGCTGGGAGCAGGAAGAGACCCCAGATGCGGCCTTACCTCCAAGGGATCCACCGAAGTCGAGAACACTGGGATGAAGCACCTGCAGAAACTCCTGCTGTCCCTCCTGCTGGTGACATGGCCCCCAGCCAATGCCGGTAAGTGGAGTGTCCCGGAGGCAAGGGGACTGAGCTGGGGAAGCAAGTCCCAGACAGTGTGTCCTGTGTCCTCCGATCCCCTCATCCTCAGTCCTGCTTATTGTAGATTATTGCTCAAATTGGATGGAGGGAGGAGGTAAAGCCAAGGCACCCTCCGCACCCTGTGTGGTCTATCTGCAAGGAAGGAACAAACAATTCTGTGGAGGCTTCCTTGTGGCCCCGAACTGGGTGATGACAGCAGCTCAGTGCTCCAGGTAAGTTTTTGCTATGTCGTGGAGTCCCCTTCTCTGGGGATTTTCAAGACCCACCTGGATGCAGTCCTGAATGATGTGCTCTAGGCAATCCTGCTTAGCAGTGGAGTTGGACTAGATGATCTCTAGAGGTCCCTTCCAACTCTTGACAATTCCGTGATTCCTTGAACAGCACCTGGTGTAACGCAATCATTGCACTGCCATGATCTGGGGAACATCTCCCAGGTGGAGGTCTAAGTGTCCAAGTCACTTCCTTCATGGCTGTAGCCAAACCCTTTCCCCAGCAGGGAGGGCAAGCGGCACCACTGGGACAGGGCAAGGCTGCAGGGGACGGAAAAGCAGGGGTCTGCAGCTCTCCCTCCTTCCCCACACCCCTCCCCAGCCCATATTCAGATACTTATCTTTATGTTTCTGCCCCCTCCATGAGTCATTTTCTTCTTCCCAGATGTCAACAGTGAGAAGTCAGACCAGCTTCTTCCCTTGCCGTCACTGACCTGTTAGCGCAGCAGGGACTGGTGGTGTCAGGCTTTCTGTTATCAGAATCAATAATCTTTTATGACCAAGGTGCTTTCCCAGCTCTCTTCCATCCCTCCAGCTGGAGGAACTGGGGCTTTTCTAGATGCACCTGACTCTGGGTGCAGCTACTGCACTCCTCAGGGCTGATGGCTCCGACCCGGTGCCAGTAGCCCAGGCTCAGGGCCAGTCCCCACATCCGAGCGGCAGAAAGGAGGACTGGCAGAACCCAGGAGTCCGGATACCCAAGTCCCACCTGATAGATTGAGAGGGACTCCTACCCATACCCAGGGTCCCTCCCCATTTTCCTAAGGCTGCCCCTTCTGCAGATGATGTAGAGGCCAGTAAAGGTACATTGGCACAGACCAGGGTCCTGATTTAGAAATCCCTCCTTGGTGCCATGGACTTCAGGGGCCTATGAAGCCCAGACCAACAGTCCATGTATCTTAGTACACAGCAGTAGCATTAGACCAAACCTGCTCAGCTCCAGATCCAGAGGAAAAGTAACCCTTGCAGAGCTCTGGTCTGTCAGACAGAAATTCCCTCTGCCTCTTGGCTGTGTAGATTCACTGGCAGAGCTCCTTGCACCCACCATTTTCTTTAAAGCCCAGCTGGTCTCTCCTGGCCATGCCCCTGGGAGATGAGCCTCAGTGCTACCAGAGAAGACAGGAGAAAGATAATGACAGACACCGTGCTTGATTTTACCAGGCACAAACCTCTGACTGTCATCCTTGAAACCCACACAATCCAGGAAAGCTGGCAAAAATTCCAAGTCCAAGAGTATCACCCCCACCCAGGCTTCAGGAATCCTAAGGAGGGAAATGACATCCTCTTGCTGAAGGTAACTACCTGCCTGGAGCACCAGCATGGTCCCGTCTGCCTGAAATGAAGGGCTAGGCTATAACCCTGGAGTGGGAGGGGACACACTTTGTCACAGGACATTTTCAGACCAAGGACTTATTTCTGTATTTTCTGTCCCTTTACCCAGCTGAAAGGCAATGCCACCAGCAACGTTAGGACCATTCCCTTTGAAAATGCAAAAGTCCCTGGTGAGACCCTGTGCTCCTTAGCTGGCTGGGGCCACAAAACCACTCCCACATGTCGCAAAGCCACCGTCACCATCATCAAACAAAGGGACTGCCTCAGCCACAACCCCGGGCTTGCTGACAACTTGATTTGTGGCTACAGCGAATCTGCTGGGATACCTGAAGAGGTCAGTCTCTGACTTAGGGAATAGAAGGCTGAGGGAGAGGTTTCAGCCTGGTGCTGGGAACAAACCTGATCTGTGCTAAAAAAACTTTACCAAAAAGGTACTGTCTAAAATTGCTTCTTCTTGTTCCCTCACTCTCCCCCTCCCCCCCATCACTCCGTGCTTCCTCACCAGCATCCCCCTCACTTGCTGTCCTGGAACAAGAAGGGCCCTGGGTCTGATCTCCAAGGGTCAGACCCTCGGGGGGTCAGCAGTGTTCCTTCTGCCTGCGGGCATCACAGGACGAGGGGATCCTTGTCTTCCCACAGCAGGAGACCCAGGAGTCTGCGGCAGCAACCGTTGGCTGAAGAGGGGTTTGCCCTAAATCTCACAGCTGGTCTGAGCGTGCTTTGCAGTGCTCTGCAGCCAGCAGAAGAGCAGAAATGAAGCAATACTTTAAGCTTCAGTGTTTGGCCAGCTGTAGTTGTGCTGGGTCCCAGACAAAACTGCCAATGGTCCCTTTTGGACCCAGAGCTACTCACATCCATTGTGAGCCCAGGCTTCTCCTGGGAAAGCTCCGTCCTGGTATTTGCAGCCTCCCTGTTCTTTGCAAATGCATCCTTTTCCTGGGGACCCCATGTAAATCAACACTGATCTCTCTCCTCCTCCATTTACAGAGTGATGCTGGGAATCCGCTTATCTGCAAAAACAAAGTCTATGGCATCTTCTCCTATAGGCAAAAGAATTGGCCCGGTTTCTACACACACATTGCTCCTTACCTTCCCTGGGTCAAGAGTGTCATGAAGTCATGATCCTGCTTCTAACCACTGATCACTGCTGCTTCCCTGGAAAATTCATGCTTCAGGGCCCTGTGCTCACCTGCTTTTTCTTCCTTTCTTCCTGGGAAACACCTTCCACTGATCCTCATGGATATAGCAAGGACTTCTCTCTGGCAAAGCCAAACTATGGCAGTGGGGGGCTTGGCGCAGAGGTTGCACCTTGGGGGTGTTTGTTCCCTGTGCAAGCCAGAGAGTGCCCATTTACACAGTGCACACTCCTACACTTTGCTGCTCTGATTTACCCCTTTGTCAAGCTGCTCGTGGCTACAGCTCTAGAAAGGAAGCAGCAGGACAGCCCTGAGTGACGTGACAGTAGCTGTTGGAATGTCTGCTGCGCTTTGGGGAAGGCAATACAACTGGATCGGGGGATCCAAAGAGCAGTCTCCTCCCTGCCCTTTGTGTTTGTGACACCTGGGTCTCCTTTGCCCAAGCCTTGGGGTTAGAGGGTTGCCCAGCTCCAGGGGGGACACTTTCAGCTCCTGCTTCACTACTGCTGCTGTCTTCTACCTCTGAATCCTGCTGCGTCCTTTCTCCCCTCTTGCTGTAGCTCCAGTATTGTAAGAATACATAAAAACAATAAATTGCATCTGCATTTGACAGCTTTTTTCCTCTGTGATTTGGATTTCTCTCAGCCGCTGGCTCCAGTCCCGAACAGCTCAGAAGAAAGTCACTGCTCAAACAGCTGAATCCCAAGCTGGACGTTTCTACCCGAACAGTGGCCTCTGTTTTCTGTCCCACCTGAACCCCCAGAACAGGTTCCCAGCCCGGTTTTCAGGGCGGGGAAGCCTCTTGGCCTCTTCCAAGTAGAGCACTCTGCAAAACTGAAAAAGATGGTTAATGAGCTGTCTCCTGGCAGGAGTTGTTTCCCCCCCCGCCGTGCTGCTGTGTGAGCAGGCAGGAAAGAACTACACAGGGGAGGGCACTGAGCACAGGGGGCCCCCGGGACTACGGGAATGCTTGCCCGCATGTGCCCCCAGTGTTGCACGGGGGCACAATTAGCCCATCTCATCACAGGGTGGCCGAGGACCGCAGCCCTGGGTCCAGCCCCAGCAGTGGCCGAGGGCTGTGCCAAGTTCTGCCACCTCCAGCTGGCTCCAGTCGCCAGGCACCCGGGAAGCAGCAGCTCGCCAGTTCGAGCTGTTCAAGCAGTTCGGCTGCTCCAGCCACTGCAGGAGTGCGTTACCTCAGGAGGAGATAAAGTGTCTCAGGCAGCAATCGTGTCCTCAGGAGGTTTGTTTTGTTCTGAAAGAGGAACCCCAGAGCGCTCCAGAGCCAGGACAGCCCCAGGCAGAGCTGGGCTCTCTCCAGAGTCAACCCCAACTTCAGTGCGTCAGGAAAGAAATCCCACCCAAAGATTCAAGAGATCTTTGTGCCTGGTTGTACTAGAAAATAAGAGTGAAAGGTGAGGCAGTAGCTCATTGGTGACCCATAAAATCTGAGATGTTTCAGTCCTGCATATTTTTTTCACAGAATCACCATGGCTGGAAGGGACCTCTGAGAACATTGAGTCCAAACTTAAAAAAAACCCAAAAAAAACCCCAAACAAAAAAACCCTAAACACACCACCAACAAAACAAAAAACACAACACCCCACCACATCACACCCACCCACAAACCAATAATCTCAGGCACTAGAGCATGCCCTGAAGAGCCATGTCTACAGGTTTCTTAAATCCCTCCAGGGATGGTGACTCCACCACCTCCCTGGGCAGGCTGTTCCAGGGCCTGAGCACTCTCTCAGTAAAGTCATTCTTCCTAATATCTAATCTAAACCTCCCCTGCCCCAACCTCAGACCATTTCCTCTGCTCCTGTCATTATTCCCTTGGGAGAAGAGGCCAACCCCCACCTCTCTACACCCTCCTTTTGGGGAGTTGTAGAGGGCAGTGAGGTCTCCCCTCAGCCTCCTCTTCTCCAAACTAAACATGCCCAGTTCCCTCAGTCTCTCCTCATATTACTTGTTCTCTAAATATACTACAATAGTGCCCAAATGCCATGGTGACAAAGACCCTCCTGTGCAAGGTTTTTTTGATCTTGAAGTCTTCATCAAGCGCAATTTCATGCCAGGCAACTCCTGTTCTTAAACTATTTTAAGCCTATAGGTACACTTCAGTTTCCTGTTTATAGAAACACAATCTCCAAAATTTTTGAAAAGCAGCACTCAGACTAAAGTTTTTGTGTTAAAAGAAATTGCCAATGGGTTTTATTTTTCAGAGGTAGTACTTCTGGGGAGTGTTTCCCTTTCCTTGTGTTCCCCTTTGCACAAGGATGAATTGTTAGAGTCATCTCTATCACCAGCGCTGGATACAAAATACTAGACCAAAGATTTTAAGATTCCAAATACTTTCTAAACCTAGTAATTCGAAACGTCTTAAAGTCCCCTAAGTCATTCACGTGACTAAGAAAAACTGTAACTGAACAAAGTTATCAGTGATTTTTGATGTGGATGCTGAGTTGCACAAGGAGAGCACATTGATGCTGTGCTGTGGGTTTTACATGCACACAGTGCCCTCTTTGGGCTAGTGACAGCACATGTTCTTCACAATTCTGTCTCTGAACAACTTCCGAATTGATCAAAAAAAAAAAAACCAAAAAAACCCAACAAACTTACCTCTAAAAAAAAAAAAATCTTTACAACACAGCATAAAGTTGCAGTTTGGAAGTAAATTCGTTGCTAAGATGAGAAAGGCACCTCTTTCCCCTGGGGTTCTTTACAGCATTTAATCTTCTCCGAATTAAGCATTGCAAAGCTGACATTGAGCTGAGAGCTCTTTTCTAATCAGGCTGCCTAATCCTTTCCAGAAGAATTCCAAAGATGTTCTCATCCTACATCACCTCTACTTTGCAAAGAGACGCATTGAAGCTATCAGCTATTTACAGTATTAGAGATCGAAGGTCTGAGCTGCTGGCAGGGAGTACACAAACCAGAGCAGCAGGAGAGACCTGCCTTTGGATGCTTCATACAAACACCATTTATCTCCATGGCCAGGAGCTATAGATACACACCTAAGATGAAGGGAGGAGCAATTCTGGGAGCAGTGAGTGGGAGTGACAGCAGGTAATAGCACCTGGAGGCAGGACAGTCCCCAGGCTGCGTCTGTTGTCCCTGATGAGCCACATCTTCGCCCATCTTGGCCGCAGTGAATAGACCACAATGTCTAGATAGGATAAAAGTAGGCAATGAAGTGGGAGGCAGGACCCTGCAGCCTTCAGAGGGGCACAGATGTGCTGCACAGGAAAACAAAACCATAAACTAGCGGTCAAGAGTGCTGGATAGACCCCCCCCTCGCTGAGCCCAGGGTCCAGGAAGCCACTATTCCCAACAGTGAATTCCATCAACTGCTGCTGTTCAACAAGCGACGCTGGTCCCTGGCTCTGACCTGCTGGCCGTGGATTGCCGAGTCCTGCATAAGGGTCAGGATAGACACTGGAAGAGAAACCTGAAGTGAGATGAGGAAGGCATTATATTCCTGCTTTATAAATTTCATATGGCATTTTATGCATGCTGGACAGACGCTTCCCTTGCTTTCCCAAGAGAGCAAATGTAATGCTCAAAGAAAAGAGCTTTCTCCTGCTACGAGGATAGTGGCTGTCCCAAGGACAAGGAAAATCCCAAATTATTTCTTCTTTGCCCTCTTCTTCTGCACAAGATATTCTAATATCAAAAAGATTGAAACTGATTTCCTTAATGTCTGGGTCCACATATGCACACAACCCCAAGGACCTGCTCCAGTGTTGGCAGTTACACCCAAAAACCAGGTGAAGTGAGCTGCAGCACTAACAGGACCAGTTCCTGGGCCAGCACCAGAAAATGCACCCGGCCCCGCACGGAGTCCCGACCGCCCTCTCCTCGAGAGGCAGGAGGGATGTCCAGGGCAGCAGGGTGCTCCACGCCGCAGCGACCCCCAGGGTCCCATGGCTTCTCCCTGAGCATTGGGCGATTCCTACAGCCAGAACTCACCATCTTCTGAAATGGTTTATTCCGTCTGTGTTTGAGGAGCCCTTAGGAAGGTCAGCAACTGTGAGCAAAGCGCCGGGACGGTTCCACTGGCAGCTGCTCCCAGCTGGCGCTTTCCCGGGTGGCTCCGGGACAGGAGGGACCCAACCGCTCAACAGGGTGCTCCGAGACAGCCCCCGCCGTGACCACCTGCGGCACGGACGGGCAACTGGCACACGCGTGGTGGCTGGAGGCTGCGAAAGGCCTAAACACAAGGCCCTCCCACAGTTAGTTGGGAACACTGGGCTTTATTTCTAAGATTTCACCTTCTTCCTCAAAGAGTCTGAATCTATCACTATGCTTTATTTAAATGGAGCATATTTATACTCTCTCTGAAAAGAATGGCACGACACACGACTCACATGGAGCTGAAGGAAACAAACCAAACACGCTTCTTTCAGCTACTAATTTCATGCCTTCCAGCAGGTGAGAACACAGAGCTACCAAGAAGAGAGACATAGATTCACCTTTGGTTAGAAAACAGGAACAACAAATACCTGCCAGTACCATGGGCAGCCAGACCAGAGGGATTTTCCTGGCCCAAGACGAAACAGCATCTCAGGCTGCCCAGACCCTGCCGCTTCTCCTGTGCATTAAGTAACATAAAAGGGAGCAGAACATCCTTGGCTGCAGCTTCCTGAAAACAAGGAACCTTACACTGAGGAAATTAGACAGCTCTACCTGCTCCCAGCTGATTTAATCTGAAATTCCTGGGGAACTACCCCAGGAAAGGAGAATTAAATTCTAGAACCTCCATCCCAGGAAATCCCTTTGTGAAAGCTTTCACAATCACCCATCCCTGGACTCCTAAAGGGATAAATTTAAGCAGTGTTTCATGTTTCAGCCCGTGTCACTAACAAAGAAGACTGGAAACAGGTCTGGTCCCACCAACTTGTCTCCTATTGGCAACATACACCCCACAAGATGTGCCTGAAATGGGCTGACATGACAAGAGACAGCAGCAAATACGGACAGCTTCACTTAGCAATTCTACTCCAAAATGCTGTAAAAATTTAAGTCAAGGTGCCACCATTGCATCCCTATATCTTAAAACCCTGGTCAGGCCTTACTCACACTTTAGTTCAGAATTATTTGTACAGTATGTTATACGTAGTTATTGCATATTACACCTTTTATTTACCAAACACACTTTGTTTCTATGCCTTAGAGTCCTGATCTTCTGAGCAGGGACGGGGCAGAGTGTGCTTCAGTGGGATGCAGGTCTCACAGGGCACAATTGTTCAGCCACCAGACAAAGGGGGAGAGGAGAGACAGGAGTGAAGAAATGCATGTGTGACCACCACGGCTTTTAGGAACAAAATTTATTCCAATTTCAAACAGAGAATTTATTTCAGGAGAAAGATATGAAAATCAATTTCCATCAGATATTTCTGTAATAAGGGTTTTTGCCCAGCAGTCAGAGTGGGATCATTCCAAGAAACAATCACACTCCCGGACTGGAATGAGACAGTTTGGAGCCTGAATAGATCCTGACACTGGGCATCTTATTCAGAAACTCCTTTACCCTACCCTCTTCCCTCCCCCC